CTATAAAAACTGAATTAAAACTTGAAGAAATTTTGGAAGTTGGATCAAGAAGGTATAGACCTTGGTTATGCTTATCAATCCTCTCAACTTGCCACTATAATGATCCTGAATGAGACAAAAATCAGGATAAAAAGTGATAGCACAATTATTTGAAGCATTGAATTTTGAAACTGAAAATAAATTGTGTTTAAATTTTGGAATGTGTAATACTTTGGAGAGATGAAACCCATTGTCCAAATCCACATAGCCTATATGTTTAATGTGTGTTTTGGTGCCATTAGGTAATCCTACAAGGGTTTGTGAAAAAGGCTCTTAGGGAATCGGTGATTGTAAACTAGAATAATTGCAAGTCATATGATCTGTGGCTCTCGTATCTATGATCCAAACATCATTATTCATGCAAGAGAAGTAAGCATTAATAGGGTCAAGAATTATACCTGCAAGATTAGCAAGTGGAGTAATATTCTATTTCCCTAGTAGTTGAAGGATCTGATTATACTGGTCAGATGTCAACACAAGATCAACAGGGGCATTACCACTACCATTTCTAGCATCTGATGATTCCGAAATTGGACTCTGCATAGCCACTTGATTCATAGCAACTTTTGTTTAGAATTTGTTCTGCTCTTTGTGAATTGGTAATCTACCGGATACCCATTCAACTTGTAGCAATTCTCTCGTTTGTGACCAGGCAAGTGGCAATATTCGCATTCAATATAGGGCTTTTTACCCTTATACCTCTGACCTGAATTTTGTCCTTTTTTATTATTCTGAGCATAAAGGGCAGTGGAGACTTCCGAATTAACATTCATACCAATGAGAATTTTCTGATTTTCATCCTGATTCACAATTGAGTGTGCTTGTTTAACACTTGGCAATGGATTCATAAGTAGAATTTGACTCCTCACCATAGAATATGAGTCATTTAAGCCCATTAAAAATTGTAACAACTTCTGCTGATTAATGTGCTCAAGAAATGCTTTTGCGGAAACATTGTCTGGTGGAGGTAGGCTTACTAGTGAATCCAATTCATCCCAAAGAGACTTAAGTTTGTTGTAGTATACTGCCACAATGTTTGTTCCTTGCGTGAGATTGGCAATTTCTCGGTGAAGACCAAAGACTTGAGTTCCATTAACCTTATGATATTGCTTTTTCAAGTCTTGCCAAACTTGAGAAGCATTGGTTGAGTAAACAATCCCATTGAAAATTTCCTTTGATACAAAGTTGAATATCCACGCAATCACCAATGAATTACATTATTCCCATTGCGACACTAATTGAGAGTGAACAGAGGTCCTTGTGCAAGTTCCATTGACAAAACCTAGCTTATTTTTCGAACACAAGGAGACAGTCATTGCCTTACTCCATATCCCGTAATTCTCAGTACCTTGTAGCTGCTCAGAGACTAAGACAGAACCAGGTGTATTTGAGGGGTGAACATAAAGGGGAGAATTGGAGTCAATCGAAGGAATTACACATTCTTCAGTCGAAGATGGCATAATCATATCAGCAAGATTGAAGCTTCAGAGAGACAAACTGAAACTTAAAGAAGACGAGCTGAAGCTAGAAGAAGATGAGTTGAAGCTGAAGAACGGCAAGAACTGGAACAAAAGAAGGCGAGCTGAAGCTGGAAGAAGATGAGCTGAATGTGAAGAATGGTAAGAATTTCAAGCTCCTTTGAACTTAATCAAAGTGAAATTCGAGTTTGATTGACCCTGATTTTGCAAAAAATTTGTTGCTCTAATACCATGTTGAATATGTTGAGAGCAATCAAAGAAGAAGCATTTTGGGGAAAAATATATTGTTTTGTTATTCTGTATAATGCCTTTTACAAATCTTTTATACAATAACTACTGCTAACTAACCCAACTAACTATGGTTAATAATTAACACAGCTATACAACTTGCAGCTTAACATACAACTTACTGCTTAATAGTTTTCTTTCTAACTTAATATGATGGATGTCCGGGGTTCTCTTTATTCGAAGTCCTTGGCACTTGCATCAACATAAGAAACTAGAAATGCTGAGGTGATCCGTCGACCATCTAATTATCACCCCAGTGTCTAGGGTGATTATTTCATTGTTTCGACTACTGATATGGTATGTATTTATCAAACATTTACATCATCATCTTCATACTGCAATTAATTATTGTTTTCTAGAGCTTGTTTCTTATTGAAATTCTCTGTCTTTTCATTTCTGCACTAAAACATCATGCATGGATTTCATTTTTCCCATATAACAAGAAATTAAGGTAAATTGTTACGTCCATGTTTGTGAATATGCCCTACTGCAGAGGTTCTTCGATCCAATAGCTCTAGTTTAGTTTCATTTTGCTAAATACAATATGGCGAATACAAATTTCTAAGGTTTTGTTACATTGTAGGGGATGTGAGAGCCACATACAGTTTTTTTGTTTTTTGTTTTTTAAGAATGTCAATACATAATAAGATTGAATATTGCTTAAGTTGTATAGATTGTTTTTGGAATACTATTTTAGCATGAAATATCATATCCTTATTGAATGGCTGTAATTAAAGAACGTGGAACAATTGGGATGTTTTCATTTTTCGAACTCAAAGATCCTGGGAGGCAAAACCAACAGGAAACGAGATACTGAATCCATTTTATGTCTCTTCCATGCATAGTTATTATATTGTGAACATTTTAGGCTCAGATTGTTGATCTATTTGTTAAGTTAGTTCATGATAGATTAGAAGCCTAATTTTTGCAAATCAATCTTAAAGAGGAATAAAAACATGTTAATGGATTTTGAAATTTATTGTGAACATAATTACAGAAGTGATTAACTGGATTTGGGGTTTTGGTTTTAGACAGGGTATGGTTTGCGTTCAACCTAACCTAAATCATCTTGTGGCCGGATACTATGGTGTTTTTCCTTGATGCAATTAAAAAATTATGTGGTTATCAGTTGTATTATTGGTATTTTATCCATTGAGCATGTTGAAGAGTTTCAGTCTCGGTGAACAGAGGGAAATTTGGGGAAAAATTGCTTTATTAATTCACTTTGTATCGTTACTGTACAAATGCTTTATATTACATTAAGATAAATTAACTCAACCAACTAGTTAACTAACTCAGGTTGTAACTAACTCAAGTAACCAACTAACTAATTGAACTGAAACTAAATTGATACAATAACTGAACTGATATAGTTATAACAACTATTTAACACCCCCTCTCAAGTTGGAGGGTGGTAGAGATCAAGAACCCCCAACTTGTGTAATAGCTTGGAATGAATGTGACCTCCAAGCGCTTTAGTCAATAAGTCAACTGGTTGCTCTACAGTAGGAATATAGGTAGTTTGTATGCGACCAAGTTTGAGCTGATCTCTGACCATATGGCAGTCAAGATCAATGTGTTTTGTCCTCTCATGAAAAATAGGATTAGAAGCTATATGGTTTGCAGCTTGATTATCACAATGTAGGGGAATAGGGAATAGTTGAGACTTTGAAACATCAAGTTCTGTGAGGAGTTGTACCAACCAAAGAAGCTCACACACAGTAGCAGACATTGCTTTATATTTTGCCTCATATGAGGATTTGGAAATGGTTGCTTGCCTCTTGGATTTCTAGAATATTAGAGACTTACCAAGGAAAACACAATAGCCTGTCACAGATTTTCTTGTCATAAGACAAGATGCCCAGTTTGAGTCATAATAGGCCGACAAAGTCATACTGTTTTCTGCTGGAAAAAATAGGCCTAATCTTGGTGATGTCTTGACATACTTAACTATCTTGAGAGCTGCCTTCAGATGCGATTCCTTAGGTTTGTGCATGAATTGACTTAATAAATTGACTGAAAAACTCAAGTCTGGTCAAGTCATACACAAATACAGCAACTTACCTACTAACCTTTGATAGACACTTGGGTCAGGAAGTAATGGATCATTGGCTAAAGAAAACATTTCATCATATGCAACATATGTCGATTTCAAAGTGGAATCCATTGGAATTGTGGAGGGTTTGGAACCAGATAATCCAGATTCTGAAATCAATTCCAATGCATACTTCCGTTGACACAAAATAATCCCTTTAGATGATCTAGCTACTTCAAAACCTAAGAAGTATCTTAGTAATCCCAAGTCCTTAAGCTTTAAATTAGAATGCAATAGTTGTTTGGTTTGCTAAATCATTTCAATACTACTTCTTGTAATCACTATGTCATCCACATGCACCAAAAGTATAACAATGTGTAAACCAAGCCTTTTGATAAAAAAGAGAGTAATCTGATTTAGATTGACAGAAACCACCAGTGATTAAGGCTTGTGTAAGTTTATAGTTCCAAGCCCTAGAAGTCTGTTTTAATCCATAAAGGGATTTATGAAGCCTACAAACCATATTTTGCCCCCTTTGCTTAACAAAACCTTGAGGCAAAGTCATGTATATCTCCTCTTGCAGATCACCCTGTAGGAAAGCATTATCCACATCCAATTGATAAAGAGGCCAACCATTCATGGCACCCAAAGACAAAATGGTTCTAACAGTAACCATTTTCACTTAACCATTTTCACTACAGGAGAAAATGTTTCTGCACCCCAACCTGTTGAGTATATCCCTTAGCCACCAACCTGGCCTTATACCTTTCTAAAGAACCATCAACCTTATATTTCAACTTATATACCCATTTACACCTAATAGGAACCTTACTAGGCGGTAAAGGGACTAAAGTCCAGGTCTTATTGTGCTCTAAGGCTTGTATTTCTTTCTGCATTGCAACCACCCAATTTGGATCTTTAGAAGCTAAAGAAAAAGAGCAAGGCTCAACCAAATGAAGATTGAAGCCTTGTAAGAAGGAGAAATATGGTTATATGTGACAAAATTGGAAATAGGGTAAGGAGTAGCATTGGCTGAGGAATTAGGTGTAAGAGTAGGACAAATGAAATCTGAAGTCCAAATAGGAGGCCTGGTAGTCCTATTGAATTTCCTAAGAGGATGAATAACAAGCTTTGGAGGTAAAGGAATAGTAGGAGAAATTATGTGTTGGTCAGGTGGCAAATTAGTGGAAGGAGAAGATGGTTCTATAGATTGGACAGATGGTATTGTAGTATCAGATGGGGAAGTGACAGTGGAAGGTGCTGACTTTGTTTCAAGAAAATCAGATGCAGGAGGAAGGGGATTTTGTGATGAAATGGACCAAGAAAAAGGGAAGATGTGTTCATAGAAAGTGACATCCCTTAAAACTGAAACTGAATGAGAGGAAAGGTTATAGAGTAAATAACCTTTCTGAGTTAATGAATAACCTAAGAAAACACAGGGGGCTGATCTAGGGGATAATTTGTCTTTATGAGTAAGAATCGTAGCATAAACCAAAGAGCCAAATACCTTGATATGATCCAATGAGGGAGGCTTGCCAAAAATTTCTCAAAAGGAGATAAACCATGAAGAATAAATGAAGAAAACCTATTGATCAAATACACTGCAGTTTGGACACAATATCCCCAAAGATGGTTTGGTATATGTGCCTGAAATTCCAGTGCCCTAGCGACCTCAAGAATATGCCTATGTTTCCTCTCAACAACTCCATTTTGTTGAGGGGAATATGCACATGAGCTTTGATGTATAATACCCTTTTGAAGAAACAGGTCATGACAATTTTTATTAAAAAACTCAAGGCCATTATTAGTTTTAATGCATTTAGGAGTAAATTGATACTGATTTTGGACCATTTCAAGAAAATATTTGATTGTAAGAAAAGTCTTAGATTTGAATTGCATAAGGAATATCCATGTAACTCTAGAGTAATCATCTACAACAGTGAGAAAGTACCTTGCATTACCATGAGTTGGTGTCCTATATGGACCCCAAACATCCATGTGTAACAAGTAAAAAATGCAGCTGGAATATGAAGCACTATGATGAAAAGGAATTCTAGTTTGTTTGGCTAATGGAAAAACATCAGAGTGAAAAGGTGTAGAAAAATTCATTTTCAGCTTATGTTGCATAAGCTATGAAGTCTTGTAAGGGATATGTCCTAGCCTTTGATGCCATAACTCAGGTGCAGTAGGCAAAGTTGTAGATAAAAGAGACAAATATGAATTAATATCCTTATTCAACGGTAAAATTGATGGTACATGATTATTCGAATGAAAAACATTGGAAATAGTATCTTTTGAATACAAAACATTTGAAGCAATCTTATTTAAAATCTTTAAATCTGACAAAGTTGGCAAATGTTTGGACATTGGATCAAGAAGATATAAGCCTTGGTCATGCTTACCAATCCCCTTCAACTTGCCACTGCAAAGATCCTGAATGAGGCAAAAATCAGGATAAAATGTAATGGTAAAGTTATTGGAAATAGTAAATTTAGAGACTTACAACAAATTGTGTTTAAAGTCTAGGATGTGTAGGACTTTTGAAAGATGAAAACCATTATCCAAGTCTACAGAACCTATATGTCTAATATGTGTTTTGGTTCCATTCGGTAATCCTACAAGGGATTGTGCGGTAGGTTCTATAGCTATAGGTGATTGTAAAATTGAATAATTGCTAGTCATGTGATATGTAGCTCCTGTATCTATGATCCAAGTGGCATTATTCGAGCAAGAAAAGAAAGCAGTAGCATAATCAGTGAAGGTACCTACAAGATTGGCAGTTGGAGGATTGACATTCTCCTTTCCCAAGAGCTAAAGGATTTGATTATATTGGTCAATTGTTAAAACGGGACCAATTTGAGCATTAGCATTTCCAGAAGCCTTTGCAGTTCTAGCATCTGATGACTCTAAGACTACATTCTGCATTTGAGCTTGATTAGCAGAAACCTTACCCTTAGAATTTGTTCTACCTTTTGTGAACTGATAATCAGCAGGATACCCATTTAGTTTGTAGCAACTCTCTCGTTTGTGACCAGGTAAATGGCAGTACTCACATTCAATATATGGTCTTTTACCCTTATATTTTTGGCCTGGATTTTGATGCTTACTGTTGTTCTAAGCATAAAGTGCAGTTGTGACCTCTGAATTAACATTCATGCCAGCAAGAATTCTTTGGCTTTCATCCTGATGTACTACAGAATAGGCTTGTTTAACACTTGGCAATGGGTTCATCAACAAGATTTGACTCCTAACCATAGAATATGAGTCATTCAATCCCATCAGAAATTGTAACAATTTCTGTTGATTCAGGTGTTCAAGGAATGCCTTTGCTGATACACTATCTGGTGCAGGTAGACTTACTAACGAATCTAACTCATCCCACAAAGACTTGAGTTTGTTGTAATACATTGCTACAATGTTTGTTCCCTGTGTAAAATTAGCAATTTCTCTATGGATACCAAAAATCCTAGTCCCATTGACTTTATGGAATTGTTCTTTTAAATCTTACCAAACTTGGTAAGCATCAGTAGAATATACAATTCTGTTAAAAAATTCTTTTGATACTGAATTAAAGATCCATGACAACACTAAGGAATTGCATCTTTCCCATTGTGGCACTAACTGAGTATGAATTGATGATTTTGTGCATGTTCCATTAACGAAACCTAATTTATTCTTTGCACATAGAGAAACAGGCATAGCTCTACTCCATAATCCATAGTTTTCTGTTCCTACAAGCTATTCAGAAACAAGAACAGTACCTGGTGTATCAGAAGGATGAACATTGAGAGGAGAGTTTGAATCGATCGAAGGAACAACTGATTCTTCAGTGGAGGATGTCATTGTCGACGTTGAATTCTTAGCAAATCAAGCTAGAATGAAGAAATTGAGAAATTTTAAGCTCTATTGAGCTTAGCAAAGATCAAATTGGAAGCTTGATTCAGCTGATTTTCAAGTTAGATTGCAGAAAATTGAAGCTCTGATAACATGTTGAAGTGTTTCAGTCTCGGTGAACAAAGGGGAATTTGGGGAAAATTTGCTTTATTGATTCACTTTGTATCGTTACTGTACAAATGCTTTATATTACGTTAAGATAAATTAACTCAACTAACTAGCTAACTAACTCAGGTTGTAACTAAACCAACTAATTGAACTGAAACTAAACTGATACAGTAACTGAACTGATATAGTTGTAACAACTATTTAACAGAGTATATTTTCTATCATGTAGAGGTTACTTCATATTTCACACTTTGTAAATATCTAACAAGCATTTGTGGAGGGCTGGCAAAAACATATATTTATTAATCTCGCTTGTTCATTGTCCAACAAGATTGTTAATAAATAGGTTAAATCCTCGTGACTTCTCCCACCTGGTGGTGAAGATGCAGGTATTACCTCATGGGTTTGAAATTCGCCAGAGAACCTCCCCGTTGATTTCTTAGCGAAGCTTCTTATGTTGCTGACAGCAATGAGAGTTTCTTAGTGAAGTGTGGTGCCAGTGACATTAAATCAATTGTCATAATGATTATATTTTTTTTTATAGGAAACAAAGCGAACTGTATTAGTGAGACTAAAAGAGAGAACTATAGTGGATCACTTAAGTGTCTGTCGAAAAGAACCCCTAAAAAGCCATATCTGCACATGATAAGTAATCCCAAAAATTGTTTCCATAGTGTTTATTTTCTCTGTTATTCTGGGTATGATAATATCTTTATCAAGGTTTAATACATATTACGTTCTGATCAGAGATGATGGGTCTAACTTTCTTATTGTTATGACTATGAGATTTAAAATCAAGTTCCTTTTCAGGACTTAGTAAGCGCACGACTACTGAGGGACTCAAGGAAGCCTTTTCTAAGTTTGGTGAAGCGGTTCAAGGTTTGTTCTTCTTCTTTAAAGCTATTTAAATCCACCCTAGTGCATGGTGGACTACTAATTATTGGTGTTTCTGCTATTCACAGCTAGGGTAGTGACCGATCGAGTGTCTGGATATTCCAAGGGGTTTCGTTTTGTAAGATATGCTACCTTGGAAGATGCTGCAAAAGGCATAGAGGGCATGGATGGCAAGGTGAGTTGACAAGACACCACATTTATTTTGTTGAAGATTATACTAATGTTTGTATATCTGAGTCAAAGAGTTTAGAAGCAATGCTCTACTCAGCTCTGTTTCTTATTTGTTATCTATTTTATTTTTCAAAAATGCTCAAGTCAGCTGTAGTGTCGAATATAGCTTGAAAACTTGGTAGGGTAGGAAGTTCCAAAGCCCATCAATCGTGGCGTAACCATGGTCAACTTAAATGCCCACACATTATGGCTCTGAAAGAAAGTAACGCATGAAATGTTAGATGAACTTGGAAAGTGGTAATGACAATTTTAGCGAAAACTGTAGGAATCTGTAGGAAGTGGAAACTGTGCATCTCAATTTTAGCGAAGTCAGAAGACAACTTTCATATTTCCTCATAGGGAAAAAAAGAAAAAGAAAACGTATTGAAGTGGGGTGGCTCATAGATTTCTCAATTTTCTCGCAAAATGTTTGTTCAAGCTATGTACCGTTGTGCTAAGATTGAGTTTATCACATCCTTCTACTAACTTATTCCTTCACTGCATCCTTGTTGGGCACCTTTTTATTCTCTTCTATCCCTTTTTAATGTCCATTTCTATCAATTAGTTCATTTTATGGCCCTGCTGTAATGGTAACACACATGGATATAACTTAAAATATATGTAGGAAAGGGGAAGAAAGCAATTAATGTTATAGAAACCATATCATTGTCTTCCTGTTCCTTTTCATTTATGAGTATTTTAATGGAGCTTCTGATTAAAATTTGGAATTCCATCAAAGATTTTGTTTTGAGGGATGTAGGGTTCTTATTCAAGCAAATTTAATGATGTCGTGTCATCTTGTACAGGCTAAGCTGGATTCTTTGTAAAATAATTTCTTTTTTGGCTTTTTTTAACCATGAGTTTTCTAGTTTTGATGATATTATCACCTAATTTTTTAATTTCAATATTACTGTTAATTCCTTCTGCGAAAAAATTAACAATAATAAAGTTGATTCTCTCATAGTTGATGTTCAAGTTCTTTTTTTTACAATCCTTTTTAGTAAATGAATTCTCTATTTGTCTTTTGCAGTTTCTGGATGGGTGGGTTATATTTGCAGAATACGCAAGACCCAGAGCACCTCCAGGGCCTCCATCTGAGAATATGTCCTCTCAATATGGCCACAACATGTCATCCCCATATGGCCGACAGTGACTCATGCGTTCATAAAACAAGATGGTAATCCTTCACACTGGCCTTTGTCAGTTAGTATTATCTATGAACGGTTCTCTGTTTTCTATTGGTCGGCCTTCCATCAATTGTAACCATGCATTTTTGGGGAACATTACTTAATACGTGAACTCTGTGATGAATTCAGAAATATATTGATTTGAACTGATCCATGTTGGCAATATTATGTACAAGACTCTTAATTTGTTATCATTAGTTATAATTTTATCAGACTGTAACTTGTTCTCACTAAACTGAAGTGAAAACTGGCTATGCATAATTAAATGATTTATATAAGGATCATTTAGATGAAAGTGTTATTGTTTCTTAGCTTGTGTTTTGGTGTTACATATAGTCCAGAAAAATAAAAATTTATAATACACTAAGAAAAAAATGTGTTCTTGAAACTCAAACTACATAAAATTGAGAAACAAGTTGCTAATATCAAACGAAATCTGAAAGGTTTCTTGATAGCTGATGATAACCACACCAAAGGCTGAGCTTCATTTGATCCAGAAACCGATTTATTTCTCAACACAATCATCAAGAATCTGGGAATTCTGTGGAATTCTGCTGGTGGTCAGAATTAGTTCAAGATTTGTTTGAAAAAAATTTCTTTCATTGGCTAGAATTTCAATCAAAGAACATTATAGTCTAATGTATTTCATCCAAACATCTTACATAAATTTTTAATGAATTCTTAAAGCTGGTTTTAACAGTGTCAGAAATGTTCTCAATCAAATCCTTTCAACTGCAAGTCATGTAAAAGTCACCCAACATTCAACATTTTCTGTTCTAGAAGTTGTCAAATAATGCTAAATCCTGATAGTGGACCACAAAAGGCATTCTTTATGTTCCCACCTGTAAATTTCTTGAAAATCAATTTCTTCTTCAGTATCACCATCAGGATTTGATTCATTCAGTTGTAGTTTTGCCTACACCATAACCTGTCCAGATGAATTATAGCGACCCCGTGATAACGTAAACACACCAAGTAGACTCTCCATATTTATTGCATTTTTTCCAGGTGGCCCAAGAACCACCAAAACCATGGACAGAATTCTCCGAATAAACCAATTCCTGCACACTGGTTGCCCTGCCATGGAAGCAACTCAACAATTCTTCAACTCTGAAAGTAACTCAACACTGGATATTTAGTTCCATCTCATAAATGAAGACAACATATTGTTACAGCTAGATTTGATACAACTTAATGCGTCTTCGTTTTTCAGCAGCTTATATGGCGTTCGATTGATTGTTTTCTTGATAAGTCGAAAGAATTTTCCAGAGAAAAAAGTTGCATCTGTCAAGATTCAAGTAACATCATCCTGGTAAGAGTCTGGTTGTGGGAATAAATTTGTATGGCTATTTATGAAAAGATTTGCAGTATCTCAACTACTTTTCTTTAGTTAATGAACATAAATTTCTAGCTTATCTTTGAAATTTTTTTTAGTTATAATACTGGTATGTCCTTTTTTGGTCCAGTTTGTGCACACCTTAACTAACTTTCAGGGGTTATTAAATATTCTACAAGTCTTAAGGTAGTTTGAACCTAAGAAATAAATGAAGAAAGAAAACATTATTGATTGTCAGGCCAACCTTAGGGTTATGATACTGGTATTTCCTTCCTATAATTAAGATGCTTTTACAAAAAGGTTTGGTGGTCAAGAAAGTTTGCTCCCCTCATTGAATTTTTGGGTTCAAACCATCTTGGAGTTATCTACCAGACTATTACATTTATGACTTACCTGAAATACTGGATTTGTAGGGCATTCATAGGAGCTTGGAGGGTATTCAATGGGATCTAAAGATTAATTAAAGTGCGTGTAAACTGGGTCGAACACCCTGGTTATTTTAATAATGAATGGATTTATTAATTTAGAACTGCTCCGAATAGTTCATCCATAGTTCTCCTGTTGTAAAGAATAAATAGGAATTATTAATTATTATTTTCTCTGAGATATTTTTATTTTATTTTATTAGTATTTTAAAATCTTGGTATCTATTGTCAAATTAACCACCTGCCCTGCTAAACATAGTTATCATCTAAATTGTCAATCAGATGACCTTATAATTTACATTGAATTGTTAAACTAATAAAGAGTTTAATTATAGGAGTGCTTGACTTCATCACTTCATATAATTAAATTCAAAATAAAAGTTTATATTAGCCGTATACATCAAAAAATTAACCAACTTTATAATAATATATATGTAACCTACATGAATCACATGCAACATTAATATTTATTAAAAATGTTAATTACTAAGATGAGTGAACATAAGAATTAAATTATTTTATAATTGCTGACTTACATTTGAAATATTTTGCAGTTTCATATAATTTTATATAATTAAGAGAAATCTTTAATAAATTAATTAGGAGATTTTAATGATAAGATAAAGAGTTAATAATTTCAAAATTGATTTCTATTGACAATTGGCTAATAATTAATTAAACCTTTCAACAATTATAAAGTCAACTAGATATCTTCTAAAAAATATTAATTATAATGCCGGCTTAGTAACGGCAGTACCAAATATTATCAGAATTTTTATATATTTATTTTAATGTTTAATGAAATGAGGATTTATTTTGTTTTATTTTTTAAAAGGTGAAGAGTAAAACTTGAGCATCCGAACTGTCAGAACTCAGAAATGGACCCACTGGGCCCACCGTTGGATCGGCCCATTTAAACATCCTAAATTTGTAATATTCCGAAAAAATCAGGGCCAATCTTATCCACAAAAAATAAATAATAAAATAGAAATAAATAATTAATTAATCACTCCACTCGATCTGCCTCGGCCCCTATAAATAATAAATAAAACTGAAGCAACGACCCCTTACTATCCACACGACAATAACAAGAAGAACAGCAATACCACAGACGACAACAATGGAGAGCTGAGAAGTTTCTCTTCTCTGTTGTTCACTTATTCTTTTCTTCCACGTGTGGAAATTGCGGGAACATGAAGTTCTTGTTGGAGCTAGTGTCGTGTTGTGGATCACCCGAGGCGGGCGGAGCCAGTCCCGTGGCGGAGCGTGTGGAGCCGAGAGTGGAGGAAACGAGGTCGTTGATGCGCCGGAGTTACCGCCGGAAGAGACGGGGGAGGTCTGGCTGTAGCGGCGGTGCTTCGGCAGAGGAATGGAAGCCGTCGTTGTGTTCGATTTCTGAAGATTTTGTGATGGACAGGACCAAAAGCGAAAGAGAGAGAAGCTTTAAAAGGAAAAACGGTGGATCGCAGCGAGACAAAGCTCGCGTTCGTAGCTGTAGCCGCGATTTCGGGTAACTTGTTAATTTTTCCGATATTTCCTTTTGAAAATGATTATTTAGATAACGATTAATTGGGTGAGGAGATAACAAAATTATTATAGAAAAAATACAATAGATTTAATCATTCGGGAACAAAATAATAAAGCAGTAAAGACAGAGTGTCGTATATTTTTCAATTTCTGTTTTGAGTCTTAACATGACATGAATTTCTATGGTGTTTTGAGTTTTCATATCTTGTCTATTTATAAAAAAATTTCTTCATTTTATTTATTTATTTATTTTTATGTGCAGATTGTATTTAACAAGTTGAATTTGAACTCACTGGGTAATTTTTTTTTTTTTTGGTGTGTATATTTGCAGGCAGAATTCAGGGCCATCCATTATTCCCACATTCTCTGCAACTCCATTCATGTTTTGATGGCTCTGCACTTTGATTAAAAAAATTAATCTAAAGTCCAAGATTGGATTTATATGTGAATATTTTGGTATAAATTACCATGTAGGATAACAAGTTGTGAAAAAAACTGTTTTTTTCTTTTTTTTGTATGTGTTATCGTCAAATAGAGCAATCTCTTGATTGGATCAAAGTGCATGTATTTATGTATATATATTATGTATACATTTTATATTACTCATCTCAAATAATATTTGATCAATTACTATGATTAAATAATTAAGAAGTTATGGGGGTGATGTAGAGAAATTGTTATGAAAAAATTACCTAGAGGCACAAAACAATTTTTTTAAAGAACTCCTCGTTACTTTGGAAGTACCAAAAATACATGTCTTCGTAAAGTTGAGACCATGTATTGGGATGACATCCGCCTAATGCCAGTAGGTAGGGGTGTGCAAAAAAACCAGCCATAACTGGAACTGGCAAGTACCTGAGGTGCTGGCTCTTACTCGAAACCGGTCCTCATAGGGTTGATTTTAGTTCTAAAAAATCGGAGCCAATATTATGCGATTTCGGTTCTAGTTCCAGTTCCACCATTGTAGGAACCGAAACCAAAATCGAAGCCGAAACCCGGATAGAAATCAAGACTGAACTATAATTTTGTAAACTTTCAAGGGTGTACTGTAATTTTTTGGGGGTGTATTTGTTATTTTTGTAAATAGTAGGGGATAATCAAAATTTTTTAGTATTGAAATCAGAACCTATGCTTCAGGTTTCGGTTTCGGACTTTTAGGAACCGGCCGATTCTGGTTCCATAGGATTTGGGCGAGTAATTGGACCCACCCACCCCTATCGGCAGGTCAAAGAAGTTGGTGACTTGATGTTGGGGGAGTCAGCACCTGAAGCCCCGGTGAATGGTGGCCGGAACTATAATAATGGTCCTTGACTAAATAATTGAACATTTTCTCAAACTTAATTTTTTAATACACTGTTCCGCTCAACCGGGCTTGGTGAATCAAACTACTCAAAAGGGTTGTGGCCAATTCTATGGAAGATGTTCAATAGTGAATGGATTTTGTTCTACTCTAGGCCTGATAGATCGAAATCTTTTAGGCCTAATAGCTTTTATAAGTACACCAACAACCCAAGTTGATCAAAGGGTTGCTCTGCATTTTCATTTGACTGAGATTGGCATTTTGTGCTTATGCAGACGATGCTCATTAACAGTCTTGTGGATCAATTAATGTGAATTACTTGAATCTCCATTGCATCTTTTCCAATTCATGCAACATAAAGGCGGAGGTTCCTTTTGGCAAACGGGATATTATATTGTATTTATTCAAGCTATCAGGATGGAGCTGCTAGCTTTGCAGCTGCGTCTGCATCGGTTCAGTTTTAGAAGAGACTAAACTTTACTGCAAAATTTGGAATGTCAAATGGAGCTGAGAGATTTGGCTCTTAATTCAATTTGAAGTTAATTGATGGGTCTTGCTGGTCCTATTTGACTCTTTGCTAACCCTCGATATCTGAGATTCACATTACAGGACAAGAAACAAAGAGAACGAGGAAAAAAACAAAAACAAAAACAAAATCTTATTATGAAACCTGGTATGTTACACAGTATCATTTAGTTAAGCACCTTCTCCGTCCTCCATTCCGGCCATCGTGTCATACAGAGGCTTATTTAGTGTCTCCGGTAGATAAAATGCCAAGATTCCTCCTACAATACCACATACTGCAAACACTGCAAATGGTAAGGCACCTCCCAAAACCACCACAAATGGTGCTAATATTGCTCCCATCTGCGCCGCTTGTGTTGCACAACCAAGTGCAGCATTTCTCACCACTGTAGGGAACAACTCTATTGTGTATATGAACAGCAAATTGTAAGTACCCGCCATCCCAAATATTCCCAGAATTCCGCAAACCATCCTCACCACTTTCCATATCCCATCATTTTTCACCAAGCTCCCCAATAAGCAAAATAATCCACTGAACCATAATGTGCCTATTGCCAATGGCTTCCTTCCAAATTTATCTAACAGAAGTGCTGTAAGGGTGAAAGCAGGCATCTCTGCCACTGCATTGAGAAGGACAGCGAGATAAAGATTTGTTTTGAGGTTTACAACGTTTAAGCTAAGGCCATAGTACACAACTGAACACAAGAAGTTAATGGCTACTGCTAAAAACAAGCGAACTCGTGTCATTGGTGACTTAATTACGTCTAAGACAGAACCTGTTATCGCTTCTTTTGTTGCCCATTCTTCCTTGTAATTTTGTTTGTCATTAGAAGATTCATCATTTTCTTCTTCATCGAGTGCAAGGACAACCCCATCAGGCAGGTGGTGTCCATTAGACTTAGCAATTATGTGCATGAGATTCATGGCTTCATTCATTTTGCCACGAACAAGGTACCATCTAGGCGACTCATTGAGAAAAGGAAGAACCAGGATGAGGAACAAAACGGAGGGGATTGAAGAAGCAATGTAGAGAGTACGCCAGGAACGAAAAATATAAGCTATGCCTGAGAGTAAGGCTATTCCTGTTGAGAAGAAGTAGAATGTGGACATTCCAGCAGTGCCACGCTTTGTTGGGCCAACAGGTTCAGTGGCCAGAACGAAGGCGCAAAGGCCAACACCTCCAGTGCTGAAGCCAGTAAGCACACGAAGTAGGAGATAGATTAGGTAGTTTGGTGACCATGCTGTTAAGCAACCAAAAATGGCATTCAAGATACAAACTATTGTTAAAGAACCTTTTCTTCCTAGTTTTGAGTCTGACAGATGGCCAAATACTCCTGCACCTGAAAATATACATCATAAAACTTTAGTGTTAATATTTAGTTAACTCTGGTAACTAAGACACCGTTGTACTGAAATTTAAAGTGTTCTCAGGACAATTTCATACATTCAACTTCAGATTTCCTGATCACAGATCAAATTCTGGAAGCTGAAACTGCCTAATCACAGTAACAATTATAGGCAAGCAGCATTTCTTTTGTATATTATTTAGTAGCTAGCTATAATAGCTCACATCCTAAATTACAGGATTAAGGTACAAATATTATTGGGTGGATGAACGGATAATGTGATTTTTTTTTCTAGTTAAAGACTGTCTCTTAGTAACAATAGCACCTATTAAGGTGCTTTTGTGCAAAAGGAATTATATTCTCTTCCACATAAAGTTATATCAAAGAAATTCTAGTAAAATCTTGCACAAATAAATCCTTTATACTTTGTGTTTTTATATAAAAAAGCTCCATGTATATCACTTATGAAATTTAATATATTGGTTAGGCATAGTTGTTTGCCATTCATTGAATTTAATATTTCTCGCAGCAATGAAAACAGAGCATTTTTCCAAATGGGAATATATGCAACTGAGACATAGCTCTAACAGGTATACTTCCTTGTGATGGTAAAGTAAGGAAAGTGTAATTTATGCTCTAGAAGCGTGGAGAAGCAACTCGTCAAGCTAACATTTGGTGGATGGCATCATTAAAGCTACGAATTTGGCTAAAAGGCTGAAAATTATTGCGGAAAGTTGAGTTATAAATTGAGAAAAAGATAAAACAATTGCATAAACAAACAAATTTTCATTTGAAAACTAGTTCTATGCACAACGTGGTCTTCGTGTGAACCCGACCCCTTAGTCTTTACTTTCCCAATTGCACCCTCAAAAATATATCATTTTTCTAAAATCTAAATTTACAATAACATTCATATTTGTCAAAGATTTGTACAACGAGAGCATATGGACTCCATATAGAATATTCCTAGTTGCGGAGAGCAAGTGGGAAACTTAAACCAATCAAATTATATAATATTATCCTAAAGATAGTAAAAGAAACGTCTCTGAACTCAATTCTATAGCAAATCAATCAACCTCTGGTTTATCCCCACTAAAATAAGCAATAATTAAAATCTTTAACTTTTAGTTTGTTAATACATTGACATCTATGTATATATAATTCTAATGTCATAAATCTCCAAAGGGATAGGCACAACCGCACAGAAGGAACACTTTTTTTTTTTTTTTTTGGCTGTGTATGCTATGTCTTTTTGTCCATAAATACAAAAATAACATCCCATCAATAAACTTGTTTGAATCAGTCAATTAAACACAGCCCTCCAGACATCACGTGAACCCATAATCCTACCCACTCTTTCTTTTATCTCTCTGCTCTGTTCGCTTCATCCATCAATAGAAAATCTTAAAATAAATAATAACTTAGGGTGCGTTTGGCTCCCTGTTTTTATCCATATTCCCAATTCTATTCTCCAAATAATGTTTGGCACACTATTCTAAAAATATTATCCTATTTTTTTAATTACTTTTAGACCTCATAAGGTTATTAATTTCACTAAATGCCCCCTAAAATTTATTTTTTAAAAATTAACAAAAACCCCCCCATCAACCCAATTTGTCAGATTCCGGCAACCACCGCCGGTGATAGCCGGAATCTGTACAACGGCCTAAATGTCGACCATAAATGGCCGGAATTACACCGATCTGGCCTTTTCCGGCAAGATCCACCACGGATCTGGCCGGAAAAGGCCAGATCTGGCCGTCAGTGACGGCCAAAGAAATGGCCGTCGTTGACCGAAAACGACGGCCACATCTTTGGCCGTCGCTGACGGCCAAAGATGGCCGTCGTTTTGGCCTTTCCGGCCGCGACGGCCATAACAGGCCTTTAGATCTGGCCTTTTCCGGCCAGATCCGTGGTGGATCTGGCCGGAAAAGGCCATAATGATGTGTTACGGCACAGATCCGATCGGTCTGTGCCGTAACAAAATTTTCCGGCCAGATTCCGGCGGTGGCGGCCGGAATCTGACACTACAGGTGGTGGGGGTGTTTTTGTCATTTTATATAGTAGGGTCTTTAATTAAATTAGTAAACCTATGGGCTTTTTCATAAATTTTTCAAATTTACCTCGTAATACTCCCCTATCCAACAATCCAATATTATCCTCAAAATCCTATCCAAAATACTACACCAAATGCACCTAATCCATGTTAACATGATCTAAACTTGATAAATTATAATAAAAAATTAACATACTTCCAAGCTAAAATGATTTTTTTTTAAAATAAAAATAAAATAAAAGCTTACCTATCATGCAGCCACCAAAAAACAATGCCTGAACAAGCCCAACTTTGTACTTCTCTTCGCAAATAAGCCACCACTCGGCCACCGTGGAGCCCTCTTCACCACCACTCCATGTCCAGGAACCCGGTTGCAGCCCACAAAAGCTAGTCGTCGCCGCGTCACATTCCGGTCCGAGACATTTCCACTTCGGTTCCCGGTCGGCGAAGATCATGACCATTGTGTGAAAAGCCTCCAGCGCCCAGGCCAAGCTTGTCAGCACGAAATGACGTAATTGCCATGGCCCGAACTCGCCGCAGTACTTTTGTAGCATGTCATCTATGCAAAGTTTCTCGGTCACCGCCTTGTTCGGCGGAGGAAGTAGCGGCCGCCGGAGGGAGGGGTCATTGCCGGGATCTAAAGCTGACGTGGATGTCATGTTTCTCGTTTACACAAAAGAAGGCGGTGGTGCTGAAAATTAATGTTCTGTAATGAAATGAAGGGATGATATATAAGTTCACCTTCGCTGGCTGTATCTTTTCCGTAAGTTCATTAGGCTACTTTAATAATTTAAGTAAAAGTCCGTGTCACGTCGTGAACGTGACATGTGGAAAGTAAAACAACCGTTGGATTGTTTTATTTTTTAAGGGAAAACAACTCACACCTGCCCAAGGTTTGGAGAAACGATAGGTTGATACCCAAAAAGTTTCAAAAAGACAAATAGGTACCTTCCATTAGGGAAAATACTAGAATGCCCTTTGAGAAATATTAGTATATTTTTTTAATTACTTTTAGTCTCCTTAAGTCTATTAATTCCATTAAATACCCCTAGAAAAAAGTTTAAAAATTAATAAAAACACCCCCACTCACCCATACTTATCAGATTCCAGCGGCCACCACCGTAAATGGCCAGTAATTCACTGATCTGGCCTTTTCCAGCCAGATCTACAATGGATCTGATCGGAAAAGGTCAGATCTGACGTGAGCAGGCCAGCGCCAGATCTGGCTAGAAAGTGACAGCCAAAGATGTGGCCGTCAATGACTGTCAACGACGGCCAAATCTTGGCCATCGTTGACAGACAACGACAGCCACATGCTGACGGCCAAAGATGGAGTGTTGCAGCCATCGACGGCCAGATCTGGCCTTTTCCGGCCATATCCGTGATGGATTTGGCCGAAAAAGGTCAGATCAGTGAACTACCGGCCATTTTCGGTGGTGGCGTAGACCGTTGTGACAGATTCCGACTACCACCAGTAGTGGCCACTAGAATCTGTTAAGTATGGGTGGGTGGGGGTGTTTTTATTAATTTTTAAACTTTTTTCTGAGGGGTATTTTATGGAATTAATAAACTTAAGGGGTCTAAAAGTAATTAAAAAAATAGACTAATATTTCTCAAATGGTATTCTACTATTTTCTCTAACGAAAGGTACCTGTTTGTCTTTTTTAAATCTTTTGGGTACCAATCTGCTGTTTCTCCAAACCGTTCTGCCATTTTTAAAATATCAGGGGCACAGAGGAATGTTCTTAGAATCTTTTGGAACTTTTGAAAGAAAAAGCTGTCAACTTTTTTGCTTTAATGTGATTGGCTGCGTTTGGAATTCTATTTAATAGGATTCGTTTGGTTCAAGATTGGGAATACTACTCTTAGTATTCCCAAAAAAGTTAATATTAAAATACCCAAAAACTCTCATTTTTTCGAATACTATTTTCAATATTATTCAATTTTTTTTAACCCTCTAAATTTGTTAATTCAATTAAATACCCCTAAATATTTTTTTAAAAATTACAAAAACACCCCAACAATCCACATTTACCAGATTCCAGCCACCACCGCCAGAAAATGGCCGGAATCTAATAGGATGGCGCACTACCCGCTGAATCTGGCCGGTAGTGCGCCGATCTAGCCTTTTCCGGCCAGATCCACGGTGGATCAGGCCGGAAAAGGCCAGATCTAAGGCCAAAGATCTGGACGTTGACGGCCAGATTGTCACGCCCCCTCTCGAGTATCCCTATCCCACCGGATTTGGGCGCTCCAGGAGACTCAAGATCCCGAAAGGAAGGTGAATACTCCTTAAAAAAAAAAAACATTCATAAAAATAATTTCGTCTATAGACGAAAGTGAAAAGTAGTGCGTTTGCATGTTTAAGGTTTAGAAGGTGGAAATACACAAATAATTATTCTAAAAACAGGAACTGAAATCCAGTTACAAAAGAAACATAGTATCAGAGTCCACTAAAGTTTGTAAAAGATGCAAATCATCATGCGTCAAGGCCAACCTAGAGCGTAGAGTATGCTCCACATTAACCGATCTCATCCTGGGGAGGACCATAAAACTTGAGCTGGAAGCCCAGTGAGCGGATAATATATTATACAAATAACTTTAACTTTGAAAACATGTATGAATATTGTATGCCACACAATCTAGTGCACTTACATGATAAGGCAACAACAGTATATATATATTATTCTCGGATGCCATGAAATCACACACCACATCATATAAATAAATCATTATCCACCACCCACAGCCCTTAGGGGCCAAGATCATAACTATCTGAACCAGTCCCTAACTCAGACAAAGCTACACCACCCACAGTCTCCCTCGGGGTGGCACCATCCACAGTCTACCCTCGGATGGACGAACATCATTGGATAACCATGCTCAACCCCAGGCTACCCTCGGGGTGTCATGATATGATTCAAAATAATCTCGCCCACAGTCTACCCTCGGGGCGTCCAAAATCCCACACGGTCAATAACCGCCTGGTGAATCCCGCCTGGGAGCTCGTCAGGCGTCCTCTTGTTCTAGTAGGATATACCAATGGTTCAGTAGGACGGACCATCTCAATGCGCGCATGAGGATAATATCAAATACTAGCTATGTCTAGAGGGACGGTTACGGTTCCAATCCGGGAGTCAAACTAATAATACATCATATAGGACATAACATTCAAAAATCACATCCAGGGGTGAAATTGAAATTCCAACATGTTTTAAAACTGCACATTTAACCCAGATTAAAAACTACTTCAACATCACATACCATACATATGTCCGACACTAATCGTAGTATATACCAAACTTCACAAAACATTTAAAATAAAATCACAAGTTAACATGCACATGGATTTAAGGATTTGGAAGAAGATTTGGTTTAATCCACTCACCAAATCAAGCTCCAATTTCAATGGGGCATTCAAGACAAATATATGTTGATCCAGTAATATTTTCAAGTCATTTCAGAATCAATAACTATTTAAAACACAATTTTTCTTCAACTCATTTAAATCTGCCAACTGTTTCCAGAATTGAGGTTACTGACTTGTAAATTCATAACAATTTAGCCCTTAATCTAAACCTCTTGAAACTCTCCAGAATTAAACTAGACACATATAGATTCACCAGAATTTAAAATCACTCAATTTGGATAAGTATAAGTGCATTATTTCAGTTCTGAAAAATGCATGCTCTACAGAAAACATGAAATTCCAGAATTTCATAGCAGAATTCAAAATTCTTAAAAAAAATCCCATACTTCGAATTTTGGGGTGAAATCAATTTTCAACCAATCTCTAATAAGTCTAAAACAAAATATCTGAAATTTAGCTTCATTACAAACCCGAAACTATATAAAATTTTCAAAGTTTAGGCTATCAGAATTTCACAGCATAACTTTTTATAACAAAAACATACTTTAATAACTCTTGGTTCTTTAGATCAACATATATGCTCTACCCTTATAAACATTGCATTAAATCTCCAATTTCAGTTAACCACAATAGTCAGCCACCATATCCAACATACAACTTCCCATATTTCTTTTCTATTCACAAACATTATGTATATGCATAAAATGCACACAGCATGCCAAGTTCAGCATTTCTAATCTGCCTATTTTATAACCTTTCTCCACCACTCTTCAAATCAACAACATCCACAACTCATCTCTATGGTACAAACAGTATTCCAAATAATCAACTTACACATAACTTTTAAATCGTGAAACAATAACATCAAGTACCATGCAACTTGAAAAATGCAAACTTTAGAAAAGGATTCAAGCATTTCACCCTCACAAAAATTTCCAGATTTCATCACATGGTGCTAGAATCGAAACTGGACATGCTCACTTTAAAGTCAGCTCAGCCACACATGCAAGGCAGATTTACAAGATATCACACCAAAATTTGGATCAAACACTATATAGAAATCAACACTTTACATGCAAACAAATTGAGTTTTAAAACACTTTTGGTTAATCCACTCACACAAAAAAAATTTAGCTCAACCCGAAATACCCAGCTGCCCCAAGCATCATCCTTCTCTTCACCTCACTTTCTCTCCCTCATTTATCTTTTTTCTTTCCCTTCCTCCTTCGGCCGAACGTTCTCTCTTCCTTCTTCCTTCTTTTCCTCCCTTCTCTCTCTCCTTTCTCTCTTTCTTTTCTTTTTCTCGGCTATCTCTCTTTTCCACTCCACCATTCCTCATCTCAAATTAATCAAATTTCACAACCATCAATGGCAAAACATGTGCCAAAACCGTGGGCTAATTCTCCTAAGAATTGCCTTTAATCCATCTTGCAATGGCCAATTGTGCATGCATCCTTTAGTCTTTGATTCTTACATCTTGCACCCCAAAATCCTTTAAATAAAGTTAAGTTTTATCATGACTCACCCCTGGAGAATTAGCATGTACCTGCATGACACAATATTAAAGGCCCCTCATCTTAATCAATTTCATAAAGTTGTTAAAAGTTTCACACTTCCATTTCGCACAAGTACTCTTGCAAAACTACCTAATAACCCACCATGCCTTATTTCTTACTAAAACATCTCTAAAAAGTTTCAATTCTTACATATTACCCCCTAGATTCACATAAATAAAATTAAGTAAAACCCACAAAGAAAAACGGAGTATTACAATCTTCCCCCCTTAAGGAAATTTCGTCCTCAATTCGTTTTTTTTACCGCACCTGGTTAAAAAAACTCGGGATAGTGTGCTCGCATATCTTCTTCGCGCTCCCAAGTTGCTTCCTCTTCTGAATGATTACTCCATTTAATCTTTACCCAAGGGATGGTCCTGGTGCACAACTCTTGCCGCTTCCAATCTATATCCCCTCTGGACGCTCCTCATAAGTCAATTCACCCCTAACTTGGATCGATGTTTGCTGTAACACATGGGTTCAGGTATATATTTGCGAAGCATGGAGACATGGAATACATCATAGATCCTGGATAACTCCGTGCAACGCCAACTGATACGCTACGCTCCAATCCTCTCCAGAATCTCATATGGACCATGTACCTCGGACTTAACTTGCCCCGTTTCCCGAATCTTAGGAACCCTTCCATGGTGACACTCGTAAAAATACCATGTCCTCAACTTGAAATTCCAAATCTCTCCTACGCTTATCAGCATAGCTTTTCTGTCGATCCTGGGCTGCCTTTAACTTTTCCTTGTAAATTGATTGAATTGTTAGTGGTTTGGACTATTCTGGCCCTGCTAATTTCCTTTCACCTGCCTCGCTCCAGCATATC